TCCCTATGTAAGGGACGTGTATAATGTATATATATTTTAAACAATAGTTTCCAATAGGCCACCGATCCTCATTGTAAATATACTTTCAGATTCACCCACTTTGCTTCACATTGACCATAAACTCTCCCCTCAGAGACATTTCCTAAGTGGTGTTTGGTTCTGTGCTCTTGGTATTGTGCTAGGACAGGAGCTTTAGGGCTGGGAGAGACCTGGGGAAGATGTCGGTCCTGTCCTCTCATTTACAGACAGGAAGCTTGATGACTCCCTATGGCTCTGCCGGCACCACGGTGGGAGTCGGACCTCCCATATCCACACCACGGGCTGTAACATACACATATGCTCCAGGGACTTTTCTGGGCTGGCCTGGAAATCCCTCCACCATGGAAGGTTGAAGTCAGCCCCTTTGCATTTGAGATGGTAAAGCTCTGGTGGACTTGGGGCTGCCTGTCATTGAGGAAGAAGGAGTCCCTATGGGTGACAGGTAGAGCATGCTTTGGTGTGTCCCAGACACCCCAAGGCCTGGGGGCAGCGCCTCCATGCCTGTGACCCTAACTTAGGGAATCACTGACGGGTAAGAGGCACTTCTTACCTCTGATGCTTCTAACAGGAAAAGGAAGAGTTGGGATGCCTCTGAGAAACTGTAGCTTAAAGAACTGGCTGCAGGGTTTTCTGGTCCAGACAGCCGCAGGGACGGCTGGGAGCCGTCCCTGACATGGGCTCTGCTCTCTGCAGGTCCTGTCTCTGGACACCAACATCACAAACCAGGTGAACAAGCTAAACCGAGACCTGCTGCGCCTGGTAGATGTAGGCGAGTTCTCAGAGGAGGCCCAGTTCCGAGACCCCTGCCGTTCCTACGTGCTCCCTGAGGTCATCTGCCACAACTGTAACTTCTGCCGGGACCTGGACCTGTGCAAAGACCCCTCCTTCTCTCAGGTGGGCCGACTCCCTCAGGCCCCTTGCTGGTACAGTCAGAATATCCAGGCCTCAGCGGATCGGGGGTTCCTGCAGGGCCCCCAACCAACTCTGATGTGAGTTAGAAACAAGCGCCCTTTTTCAGGCCACTCGGCTGCCACATGCCAGAACCTTGTCCTGGTAATCACATGGGTGATGACAGTGGAGATGTGAGTGTGCCCTGGAGCTGTGAGCGCGGTGGCACACTTCTCATCGAGAACCCCTCCATCCCTTCTCAGCACTGGGGACCAAGGAGGGTGACCTGTCCCTTTCCCCGTCTGTTCAGGATGGGACCGTGCTGCCTCAGTGGCTCTGCTCCAACTGTCAGGTTGCCTACGACTCATCAGTCATTGAGATGGCCCTGGTGGAAGCCCTACAGAAGAAGCTGATGGCCTTTACCCTGCAGGACCTGGTGAGCAGCAGGCCTAGTGCTGGGTCTGCAACCAGTCTGACCACCCCTCCAGTAGCGGGAGGCCTCATCAGTAAACTGTTTGCACCCACAGGAAATGAGAGGTGTGCGCAAGTCTCAGGTTGTAACCTGACCCTCCAAGGTGACGCCTCGGGTCAGCCTCGTCCACGGGCCCAGCTGACTCTCACAGCATCTGTTGGGCACTACGGGGGCCGATTGCTGGCTTCGTGGACCTTTATTCTAGTTGAGGGAGACAGACAGTAAACAAGACAAGAAAGTGATGGTCAGAGTGAAGAACTGACAGGCAGCGTGTGTGAGAAAGAGGGAAGCTTTCAGCCTTCGATGGGGGAGTGAAGACCCAAGGGAGGTGTTGGGGTTCAGGCAGGGAACAGCTGGTGCCTGGTATGATGGATAGGGGACCGCAGACTCAAAGGGAGGTGTCCACAGGGAGGGTGTTGGGAAGCAGTTGGCATGTTTGGATAAAGCCCATATGACGTCTCAGATTTTATTTGTAATTGAGGTGAAAAGCCTGTCTGGTGCCAAGCGACTGGCCGGCTCTGGCCTGGGTGGGGAGGCTCTGACCCAGGCTGCTTCTCCTTGCAGGTCTGCCTGAAGTGCCGGGGTGTGAAGGAGACCAACATGGCCGTGTACTGCAGCTGTGCGGGGGGCTTCTCCCTCACCATCCACACTAAGGTGGGGGCTCCCATGGACAGCTGACCCTGCCACCCTCGCCTCTCCTCCCTCCCCCACCCGGGCCATTTGTCCTCTCTGAGCCTTGCCCTTGCCTCCCTGTGCCTCCTCTGGGACTAGGTCTCACTACTGGTCATTTCTGTAGGTCTTCATGGAACAGATCGGAATCTTCCGGAACATCGCCCAGCACTATGGCATGTCGTACCTCAAGGAGACCCTGGATTGGCTGCAGCTTCAGAACCCCCAAGTGGGCCATTAGCAGTCTGGGCAGTGTCCCCGTTCTCTGCTCCCATGTCCCACACCCAAGATGGGCACCCAGGCGGACTGCCCCTGGGGAGCAGGTCACACAGCCCAGAAGAAGCGTGAACCAGTCAGAGCAAGAAGTGGCTTCACTTTCCAGCTCTCTGGCGTTCCCTGCCTTGAGCAGGGCAGCCCTCTTTAGGCCCAGGAAGTGTCTCCAGCGACGGGGTCCCAGGGCTGGTTTCTCACTGGACACACACACTCTCCTGCTGCTGCACAGCCCTTCCTGTAGCCCCAGCCCTTCCTGCCCCCTCCTTTGCTGCCCTGAGGTGCCCTCGGAGGTCTTCTGTTTGAGCTGAGATCCTGAAGAGGGCTGGGAGCCAGACCCAGGGTGAAGGGGCGCCTGAGCGGAGTGAGCAGCCCCAGCTTCCAGGAGTCGTGCTGTTCCACACTCCGCGCTGGAAGCCTGTGGGCTGCATCCCGGGATCCTGACTGAACCCACCGTCACCTGGGTGTCTCTCATACACTGAGTTCTGGGGCTTGGGCTCCTCTGTCTGTAGAGATTCAGGGTCAGAGTGAGGTCTGCTGGACTGTATATGGCGCAGTCACCTCGTCAACAGCAGCGAGACTGGGCTGGGGGCAGGAAGGCTGAGTAGGGGGCGGGGCTCAGCCACAGGGGCCCGCACCTCTCCCTCTGCACCTGCTGTGAGGCCTGGGGCCCCAGGGGGGCTGAGGCACACCGTTATCGCAGACTTTGACATCATATGTCAGCACCTGGATTCTCGAAAAGCATTTCTTCATGTGCAACACTAGGTTCTTTCCTTCAGCTCTGAGCGGTGCAGGGAAGAGGATGGAGAAAAGGGCAACAGAAATGTTACCAGGACTGAGGCCATTGTGTTCTCAGCCTTGGATCAGTCCAAGACCTCTGACCCCAAGGGCCTGCCCAGTCTCTGTCTGCCTTAGGCAAAGAGGGTCACTGGCCTGTGCCGCCTTTAAGAGGTGATACCACCAGCTTGTTCAGAGCCCTGTTGTTGCACAGAGATGTGGGCCGTGCTGTTTTCCCCTCTGGGATGGAGCTGGGTTGGAGAGTCTGCCTGCCAGCAGCCCGGGGAACCCTCTGCTGAGCTGGAGTTGCTCCCTCTGTTCCTCCAGCAACTCCAGAACATAAGACTGACTGCCTGTACCTCATTTTTAACTAAATGCGACTGAAAACAGAAGAAAACCAGTCAGATTGGCAAGGCAGCAAGCACATTAAATGTAAATCATAAACTCAGAAACCCAAACGGGTGGGCAGTGAAAGTCACACTGTTGGCTCTGGAGCCTGGTTTAGATTTGTCCCTGTTACCTAATTTACAATTTGACTTCTACATTTCCTATAGTCTTTACTGTGTGTGTGCGCGCACGCGTGCTCGTGCCTGGGTCTCTGGAAGGAAGGAGGAAAGACTTAGTAGCTGACGTCTGTCCAGCTAGGTTTGTCGGCTGGGTATAGCTATTGCCCAGTGGCACGTCCAGGTCCAGTGACTGCAGGAAACTTGACTCTGCTTGGAAGGTGATGGCGCCCGGCAGCCCCCAGATGTAGAGCAAATCAAATTAGGGCTGGGTGGGGGAGGAGGAAGACTCACCAGCCTTCCTGGAAACGGAGCCAGAGAAGTCCCAGGGGAGCACGGAGGAGTGAGGAGCTGGGGCTGTGTGGCTCACCCCCACCCTCTGCTCCCTGCAGCAGGGCAGGGGCACCACAGCTCCCAGTGGTCCCCTCAGAGGCCAGCTTTGGGGGTGGTGGATGTCCCAGGGTTACTCATGCTGGGGGACGGGAAACCTGAGCCCCTGACCCAAATTCTTGAGCTACAGCCCAGCCCCAACTAGAAAAGCCAGTTTCTCTAAAACTAGAGCTGGAGCTCTGAGCATCTCAGTGGCCCATGGAGCTGACATCACAGGCACAGGAGGATCTGCAAGGGTGGGGGGGGCTTCTTGGGGGGTTGCTGGCTCCAGTGAGTGGTGCTGGTCCAGTCAGCAGGTGGGAAGACCAGCTCTGACTCTGGTTGTGACGGTCACGGGTGAAATGATCTGTGGGAGGCACTGTGCCTCCTCAGACCTGTGCACTGGTCATTGCTGTTGCTGGGGAAACTGAAACCACCATCTGGCCGAGTTGTCAGAGCTGCTGAGTGGAGTGACCATTGTAGCATCCAAGGACATAACCAGATTATCCATAGGCCTGATGTGGTTAGTGCCGGCTGTTCCAACCTCCCCCTGCTGCTGTATCCACTCCTGTTCCCCAGCACCCAGTTCCTTCCCTGGCCCCCATCCCCATGTGAAATGGGGTTCTGGGTGGGCATTTTGGTGTCAGTCTAAGCTTTTGTCTTCCTTGGGTACAGTTCTCATTGCCCGCCTCCTGACTTTCTTCCTCTAGACATACCACCCTTTTCCCCCTATTTTGAGGTTTGGGGTCTGGGATGATGCCTACAGGAAGCTGAAGGACAGATGTTGGGATGCACTCAGCCTGTGTGTCCCCCACCACTGATCCCCCCCATGAGACCTGATTGTAACCTGACTGGATTTGGGGGCAGCAGATGCATCCACACACTGTGCCCAGGCAGGCTAGAGGAAGATGAGGGCCAGGCACACCCACCACCCGCCGTGTGCAGAGACCTGCCATGGTGTGTTTGTCAAGAGGCTCAAGATGCTTCTCCCCCAAAGATGAGGCTAGAAGGTTCTGGTCACAGTTTTATTGGACAGTGGATATGTGATTTCTTAGCTATGAGGCAAGCAGAGGGTCTGGGTAGGGCTGGGTGGGTGGGCAGGAGCAAAGAGCCTGGGAGGCAGGCAGCTAGGGAGGAGGTGGGGACTTGGCCCTTACAAACCCCTGAGCAGTTGGGGGCTAAGATGGAGGAGGAGGTCGTCCCATTCACTTCACCCCACGACCTAGCTGCATGGAGACCCTTTGGCTGCTGGTTTTGCTGAGGTGTATGGGCGGGGCCCCTGTCCACAGTCCCAGCTGTGCTGCCCTGGAGAGCATGGGGCTGTCCTGGGGCCTCAGACGTCAGAGGCCCCTGACACGCCCGGGGCCTTAAGTGCAGTGTGGCAGAAGGTGGAAGTAGGCTCAGAGCTGGGCCAAACCTCGGGCATCTGTGAGCACGCAGTCCTGTTGGGAAGGCTCGGAAGCGCAAAGCCCTGGTCCCGCACCCCGCTCGGGAGCATCCACCATCTGCTCAGATGGGGCAGAGGTGGAGCAAGGCCATGGGGGTGGGACAGCCCGGGCCTGGCTCTGTCCCTCACCCTGCAGTTGGCCAGCCTGGCCTGGGTCTGTAGAGCAGGGATAGAGTGGGGGAGGGGCTTGGCCCAAGACAAGGGCCAGGGTCACAGGCCAGCTGCCTGAGGAGTGCCTTGGAGTACACACCTTGTCAAATTTCTTATGGCTGTAGACCTTGTTTTTGTTCATGAATGTTAGCAAGATCCAGTCACAGAGGAAGGAGCCCTGAGGCCAGCAAGACAGATGCATGAGGGCCTGGCACCTGCCCCCATCTCGCCCCCACACACCCGTCCCCGACCTTAGCGTGCTTTTCTTACCACCCCGATGGAGGTCAGCGCTGTGGCCAGGTTAATGATGGTGGGAATCAGGCTGAACTTCCCCGCCTGGGGGCAAAGGCACTACCTTAGATAGTCAGGATTGGGGCCCAAGGGAGGCGTGGGGTGTGGTAGGGGAGACCAAGACTGGGTCAGCCCAGATCCCATGTAAGCAGGGTGGGCTGGCCTACCTGTCCATGCACGATGACATCAATGCGGATCCCATAGGCTTTGATGAGTGTGCGGGTGATGCTGCCATTTATTTTGTAGTACTTGGCAAACCTAGGGCAGAACGACCCAGAAGCACATCAGTACCTGAGATGGGATGACCTGGGTGCAAGAGCCTGGGGAATCATGACAGTGGGGTGCACCCATTGCCCAATGGGGTGGCTCCAAGACCACCAACTACTGGTGTCCCTGGGCTTTGGGGGACCTGCCCTGTTGGTTCTTGAACATCCACAGCCAGGGCAGACCAGGACCTAGCATCCGAAGGCCAAGGTACCTGAAGTTGTAGCCGGATGAGGCTGGGATGTGCTTGGGGTCCAGCCTCCGGAAGGAGTATTTGGGGTTGCACTCTGACGCTGAAAGGTCCAGGTCACAGTCCCAGTTGATAATGACCCCAATGACACCACCCTGCCCAGAAGTGGACACAGACAGGTCAGGACAGGCTCACAGGGGACCTTCAACAGCCCTGGGGTCCTACTGAGGTTGCCCATGGGGTGCATACTTGGGCAGCCCAGGACAGCTCACTGGGGAAGGGGGCTTGTTGAGTGCCCTGCTTCCAAGGCAGGATGGGTGCCAGCAGGCAACTGTGTGACCAGGAGTCAATAATTTAGCAGCAGCCACACACCCAGATGGGTCAGCCGATCTTGTTTCTCTTTCCTCTGCCAGAGCAGGGCCAGGGCTGGCCAAAACTGAAAAGGGACTGGGCTGTAACGAGACCCTTTGTATGCAGGTGACAGCCAGCACCTGGCCAGACAATTGTCCTGCTCACTCTCGGGCACCCTCACCGTGTGTGCCAGCTCTGTGAAGTTTTCCCCTGCCTGCTCCACGATGTAGCCCAGCTTGAAAATGGGGCAGTAGAGGTCAGAGACCTCATGGAACGTGCAGTGCTTCAGGTAGCCATCCTTCCGGTTCTCGATGTTGCCCCTGAGGACAAGGCCCAGTGGCATCAGATGCTGAGAAGCCATGCTCCCCCAAACAACACATTCCAAGAGGCAGCTCCCGCCCCAGCCCAGCCCTTGTCACCACACCCTAATGGTTCTTACTTGGAGAACTGGAATTTGGGGTAGTGGATGCTGTTCTTGATGAGGATGGTGAAGTTGGGGGCCATCGTACCGAGAAATTGGCTGAGGAGGCAGACTGGGCGTGTTTAGTCTCCCTTCCCTTCCAAAGCCTCTCCGAGCCTCCCAGCTGCTCTGTCGTTCCCTTCCCCCTCCACCAACACATCCCGACTCCCAGTGGGTGAGGAGAAAGGAGCGGAGAAGTTTGGTCCCAGGTGGGTGGGGTCACCGGGCGCGCACACCTGACTGAGGCCCCGTCTTCCACCGGGCACCAGCCCGACACCTCGCAGGTCTTGGAGGACCCGTGGTAATAAGGTACGCAGCGCCCGGTCCGCACGCCTGCGGGCAGACGCGCGCTCAGGTGGCGAGGGGCTCGGCCCGCCCCCACCCTCAGTTGGCGCACACTGACCGTTTCCCAGCATGTCCAGCTGCCCAGCCACACAGTCTTTGTCCGAGTCGCAGGTGGCGTTGCTGACCCTCATACTCTAGGGAGGAGACCGCTTGCTCAGGAGCCAGACAGGCGCAGCTGACCAGGCAGGGCCCATCCCTCCCGTCCCAGCTCTGCTTTCTACGCAGCCTCACCTCGGCGCATGTTCCGAGGGTCTGGAAGGGGGTGACCTCAATCCTGGTGATGATGCTGAACACGCTGCCCCCCTGGGCTCAGAAAGAAGGGACGGTCGGCCGGCGGGGGGCAGCTCGGTCACCGATCAGTCCCACCCTCGGGGTGCGCGGGGTGCAGGGCGGGGCCCGGGGGTTGCGCACCTCCGGGGGTTTCACGTACTCCTCCACGTCCCACACTTTGTGCTCGGACAAGGTGATGCCCTTGACCTTGGTGATGACGGAGCTCTCGGGGCCCGTTTCGCTGTCCTGGTAGCTCTTCTGCACGATGAACACGTACCTGTGCGGACGGGCAGGGCCGACTCTCGGGACTATCCTGGGACAGGCCTGGGACCTCTCCCATGCCGAATAAGCTCGACTCCGGCGGGAACGAGGCTGTGTCACTGCCTCTCGAGGGCCGGGTAGGCTCTGCGGGAGCCCGAAGGGCCAGACCGGCAGTCGCCCGCGTTCTCCAACCACTGCGACCCGTTCTCCCTGCTCACAGTCCAGAGCTGCCCCTCCAACCTGGAACGTCCAAGCAGCCCTAGCCGCACTCTCCACCCTCGTGAACCCGCCAGACATCCCCTCCCGCCGGACGCCCCACGCGCCCCCTCCCCGCGTCCTCCCCCGTGCGCACCCACCACACGAAGTAGAGCAGGATGAGCAGCTGCACCGCGCGGTACACGATGCCCAAGCGCCGGTTCTTCACCACGATCACCTTGGGCGTCTCGTAGTCCCAGAACGCGGACCAGCAGCTCCTGGCCAGGCGTCCGGCCGCGGCCGCCCCCACGGGGGGCTTGGGCTCGGCGGCCGCCATGGCCCTGAGCTCGATAGGGCTGGGAGCAAGGGCTGGGGGCTCCCGCGCGCCGCCTCCTGGGCGTGGCCTCGCGCGCCCCGCCCTATCCCGCCTCTCCCTGCCCCTGATCAGTCCCCTAGCAGCCGGGGCGCGGGACGGAGACGCCCAGCGCACCTGGCAGGTGTCACCCCGAGCCAGCAGAGCCGGGGTCGCGGCAGCCCTCGGCCCCAGCCCGCTCAGAGAGGGCGTGGAGACGGACCAAACCCTCGCGTCCCTCGGAGATCAGACATTTAAGACGCGGGAGGAAGACGCTCGAGCACGGCCCTCCTCCTCGGCTTCTCCACTGATGTCGAATGCGCAGCGCGCATTAAGCCCGAATAGCAATTTCTTTAAAAATAAATATATGTATATTTCCCCCAATGTTATTGAGATACAATCGGCACGTGAAGTAAAGTTTAAGGTGTACAAGGAGATGATTTCCCAAGGGCAACCCTTGATTCGAACCGCGGTTCTCCGCAGCTCGGCAAAGACACCCCTGCCTCCAGGGTTCACATAAAAATCTGGATTTCTTTCTTTCCCCAGTCTTCTTGCTTTTATCTACAGACACACCTCAGCGCTGTTCGGTTCTAGCCTCTTCCTCCACCCAAGCGCCCAGCCTCGTTTCTCACATGGATTCCGGCAGTAACTTGACACTCCAGGTTTCTATCGATTTCCGACACTGATGTGTTTTATTTTTGTTTTTACTTTTTGTATCTCTACTCTCACTTCATTAGTTTGGAACAAATCTCAGATATCATAGTGTTTCACAAATGATAAATGTCACATTTGAGATGAAATTCACGCAGCATTGAATTAACCGTTTTAATGAACAACTTGTTGAAATTTAGTCCATTCACAATTGTTTGCAACTACCATCATCTACTTCCAAAACATTTTCATCATCACCAAATAAAACTCATGCTTAACAAGAACTTCCTATTCCCCTCTCCTCCCACATACTGGCAACCACCAATCTACCTTCTCTCTCTAGGATTTACTTATTTTGGATATTTCAAGTAATGGACTTAGAATATTTGCCTTTTTTGTGTCTGACTTCTTTCATTAGCATAATGATTTCAAAGTGCATCTGGGTTGTAACCTGTGCCAGTACTCCATTCCCTTTTATTGCGAAATAATATTGTATTGTATGGATATTCCACAATTTATTCACCCACTGATAGATGTTTGAGTTTTTGTATTTATATTCTGTCTAGCGTGACTAGTGCTGCTATGAACATCTGTGTACAAGTATTTGAACACCTACATTCAATTCTTTGGCATATATACCTAGGAGTGGAATTTCTGGGTTTCTCATGGTAATTATGTTCTGTATTTAACCTTTTAAAAGAACTACCAAAATGTTTCCCAAGCAGCTGGGCCATTTTACATTCCAGTTAGCAATATACAAGGATTCCAATTTCTGCACATTCTTGTAAACACTTGTTATTTTCCACTCACTTTGAATTGCCACCCTACTGGGTGAAATTATATAATTTATTTGGATTAATGTCTGTTCAAGTCCCTTGCCCATTTTTCAGTTGGATTGCCTTTTCATTATTCAGTTGTAAGAATTCTTTATGTATTCTGGATAGTAGACCCCTATCGGATATATGATTTTTCAAATATTTTCTCCCATTATGAATTGTCTTTTCACTTTATTGATGATGACCTTTGATGAACAAAAGTCTTTAAATTTGATGAAGTCCAATTTATCCTTTTTTTTCCCTTTTGTTCTGCTTTTGAAGTCATTTCTACGAATCCATTGCCAAATGCATGGTTGTGAAATTTTGCCCCTCTTTTCTTATAAGAGTTTTATGATTTTAGACATTATATTTAGGTTATTGATCCATTTTGAGTTAACTTTTGCATATGATGTAAGGTAGGGGCTCCAACTTCATTCTTCTGCATGTGAATATCCAGTCGTTCCTGCACCATTTGTTAAAGAAACTGTTCTTTACCCACTGAGAGTCTAGCACCTGTGTGGAAAATCAATTGTCTATAGACATAGACAATTGATTGAAGACAGGAGGATTGAAGACAATGATTGATAGTGTGTAGAGCCACAACTGATTTTTGTAGGTTGATCTTCTATCCTGAAAATTTGCTGAACTCATTTATTAGTTCTAGTAGTTTTCTCGTGGATTCTTTGGGATTTTCTGTATATAAGATCCTATCTTAAAATGGATAACCAACAAGGACCAACTGTATAGCACAGGGAACTCTGCTCAGTGTCATGTGGCAGCCTGGATGGGGGTGGAGTTTAGGGGAGGATGGATCCTGAGTCCCTTTGCCGGTCATCTGAAACTATCACAACATTGGTAATTGGCTATACCCCAATACACAATAAAAAGTTTAAAAAAAGACCCTATCATCTACAAACAGACTTTTCTTCTTTTCTGACTTGGAGGCATTTTATTGTCTGATCTTTCAGGCTAGAACTTCCAACACAGTGTGGATGGCAGTGGTGATAGCAGGCATCCTGTCTTCTTCCTGATGCAAGGGGAAAAACTTTCACTCTTTCACCATTGAGTGTGATGTTAGGTGTGGCTTCTTCATAAATGCCTTTTATCATGTCGGGAAAGTTCCTGCCTTTCACTACTTCTCTGATTGTTATCATGAAAGAATGTTGGATTTTGTAAGAAAAAATTTTTCTGCATCAATTGAGATAAGCATGCACTTTTTACCCTTGATGCTATTAACGTGGTACATTGTACTGACTAATTTTCATTGTCGCATTACTCTTGCAATTTTAGAAAAATTCCCACTTGGTCATGGTGTATGATCCTTATAATATGCTGTTGGATTTAGTTTTCTGGTATTTTATTGAGGATTTTTGCATCTATATCCATGAGGAATATTGGTCTGTAGTTTTCTTTTCTTGTAGTGTCTTTGGTATCAGTGTAATACTGGCCTCATAGAATGAATTAGAATGTGTTCCTTCCCCCTCAATTTCTTTAGAAAAGGTTGAGAAGGATTGGCGTTAATTCTTCTTTAAATGTTAACTTTTAAAAGTTAGAAAAGGAAGGAACAGGTCCCAACTCATCCTACAAAGCTATTATTACTCTGTGGGAAAAAAAGAAAGAACAAGAACAGACTAATTCCTTAAAACATAGATGCAAAAATTCTCAAAAACTAGTAAATCAGTAGTTAATTTAATATCCAAAATTTAATAATGTCTTTATTATGTAAAGGTAGATTCCCTCTATGCCCATTTTATGGAGTTTTTTTAATCATAAATGGGTGTTGAATTTTATCAAAAGCTTTTTCTGCAACTACTGAAATGATCATATGATTTTTATTCTTCAATTTGTTGATCTGGTGGATCACATTGATTGATTTGTGTATATTGAGAAATCTTTGCATCTCTGGGGTAAATCCCACTTGATGGTGGTGTAAAATCCTTTTAATGTGTTGTTGGATTCTGTTTGCTAGTATTTTGCTGAGGATTTTTGCATATATGTTAATCAGAGATATTGGCCTATAATTTTCTTTTTTGTTTTTTTGGTGATATCTTTGTCTGATTTTGATTTCAGGGTGATGGTAGCCTCATAAAATGAACTTAGGAGTGTGCTTCCCTCTGCAATTTTTTGAGTTTGAGAAAAATAGATGTTAGCTCATCCCTGTGAGGCTATCAAGCCCTGGAAAATTTTAATCACTATTTGTGATTAAATAATTCACAAGTTTTAATTTTGTTCCTTGTGATCTGTCTGTTCATATTTTCTATTTCTTCCTGATTAAGTTTTGAAAAGTTGTACTTTGCTAAGAATTTATCCATTGCTTCCAGGTTGTCCATTTTATTGGTGTGTAATTGCTTGTAGTATTCTTTTATGATCCATTGTATTTCTGCAGTTTCAGTTTAACTTCTTTTTCATTTCTAATTTTACTGATTTGAGTCCTCTCTCTTATTTCTTGATGAGTCTAACTAAAAGTTTATCAATTTTGTTTATCTTCTCAATAAACAAGCTTTTATTTTATTTGATTTTTGCTATCATTTTCTTTATTTCTATTTCATGTATTTTTGCTCTGATATTTATGATTTATTTCCTTCTACTAGCTTTGGGTTTTGTTTGTTCTTTGTCTTGTTGCTTTAGGTGTAAGAGTAATTTGTTTGAGATTTTTCTTTTTCCTTGAAGCAGGGCTGTATTGCTATAAACATTTTACTTAGAAATGTTTTGCTGCATCCCATAGGTTAGCTGCATTCCATAAATTTAAAGTAGTTGTGGCTGATATAAGCTAGTCTAAACTGAACTAAACTGATCTAAGCCAGTTCAAACCAGCCTAAAATCAAAATTGGCCTAAATCAGATCAAACCAGCCTAAACCAAATCAGACCAGCCGAATCCAGATCAAACCAGTCTAAACTGGACCAGACTGGTGTAAGTCAGTTCAGACTGGTCTAAACCAGTCCAAACAGATCTCCGCCTGGGACTTTGGTTGATATGTGTTTGCTTCGGTCAACAATAGTGTCAATTTGTCCCTTGACAGAGGGGCTGCCCATGCTGCCTTGGTCAGCTTCCCCTCACAGACAGCTTCCTATCATTTCATCCTTGACTCTGCATGTTCCCTTGCCTCACTGAGATGTCCAACATGTCACAGTCACTGTTGTTCCTCACCCCGAAGTGGACAATTTCTTCCTGGCAGTGAGAATCTCTGGAGGGGTGAGTTGTGTGGACAGCTCCAACCTTAACACCGCAGCAATAAGCAGGACTTGGCCAGCACTGCCATGTAATCAGGGTGGGCAGAGTGGGTGAAGATATTTGAGACCAGGAAAGTTGTGCACAGTACAGCCACAAGATGAGGGGACCGTGAGGTTCCCTAGGGGTCCAACATCCCGAGAGAAGGCTGTAGCATTGGAGAAGGGAGAGACTTTGAAGCAGACGGAGAGAAATGTGAAAAGTGGGTCTTGAGTGTGAATCAAGCGTAGTGAGGGCCATCTGAGAGGAAAGCAAGTTCAGGAAAGAAGAGCAACACACAGAAGTTGGA